TAAGGTTGGCAATACTGATCAGTTGACACAGTTCACGTTGTTTGCGCAGCTAACGGATTTACAAAAATGTCCGCCAATTGATACCTATGAACGTCTAATATAATAATACGCTCTATAAGTGGTGACGTCACAAATTAGACAGATTGATGGCCGTATTTATAGACGACTCTCAAGTGACACTGAACTCTCAAATGACTGTCATGATGAAAAATGCGTTTTATAATCGTCTCCATAGAGAAAGTAAAATAAGAAAGGTGGCGGTATAATGTTAAAACTTAGAACCGCGTTGCGCTACAGCCGGCTGACCGTCAATAACGGGAAGCTTTGACGGTAAAAACAGGTATCTAGATTATCGGCTGTTAGAAGCGGGAATTTTAAATTTTTAAAGGTACAAAGTCTACACATCTTCTCTCGGTTATTAATGGTAATAGAAAATGTGGTGTTTACTCAACAGAGTGCAAACAAATTCCTATTTCCATTAATAATGAACCGATACTACAATGTGTAAGGACAATTGTAACACTCAGAACGCAATTTTGATCCAGATTTAAGGGGATCCATGACAGGGAATGAAATAATATATAGCTAAATCAAAATAAAATAACATTTATTAAGTAAAAAAAACACAAATTGTCTTCCAAAGAGTCCCAAAAGGATGAACTGTGATGAACCACCAGAAGTCTTCTACTTATGTGCTGCAGGATTCAGTTCCATGCTGAACTATTAAATAACAACAAATTTGGCCAGGCAAAGCCCTAATTCTAAGCCGTTCTTTTAGAAGAAAGAGTTTACATTATTTCAAAGCATTTTCTGCGACGATTAATATTTTTATTTGGATCAGATAATTCGAATAACCGTTTTTTTGAGTAGTGTTACCCCTTTAAAATAGGAAATTTTGCAGTTTGATGCTATTTATTATATATTTATACGAAAAGAACACGATCATCAGGAGGACTCCTCTTTATGCAAATATAATTATACAAACAAACAAGAAAGAGTAAACAAAAAATGGTAATACATATTCACAAAAAAATACTACTATGTTACGATGCA